TGTGTGTTCATTAATTTAATGGGTGACAATTTTGATTTCCGTTGAATGGACCGTATGTGTGTGTGTGTGTGTATGTGTATGTGTCGCTTTTGATATATTCTGGATACAAACAAAAATTAGATTCATTCATTGAAAGAAAGAATTTATCGAGAATAAATAAACAAACAAATTACCGCCTGTCTAAAAATATGTGACTGTATGTATGCGTGATGAACCAATAAAAAAAAGAAAAGGGAAAAAATCAACCAACGAACAAAAACATCTGATTTGACCAATCTCAAATGATCCGTTATGAAACAACTAAATGATTTGAAAATGTGACTAGGAAAAAAAACCAGAATTTGAGAATCAAAACAAAACAAAACAAAAAACTGAAGAAAAAGGGGAAATAATGTCATTTACTTACGCATATTTATTATTCTGAATGTTTTTTTTTCTGGATAAAATATTTGATTTTTAGGTGAATGTCATCGACATAACACACACACACGTGTTTCGTTCATTTTTTTTCATCGAAAGGCTTAACATACACAAAATTATTAGTCAAGGCAATCTTTATCAGCTGCTGCTAATGCTGATGATGATGATGACGGTTTCATTTCATAATCATCATCATCATCATCAATATTCCGGTCATGTCCACTCGATTTGATTTCAAATCCCAGTGAAAATGAAGAAAAAAAAATTCGTGGAAAAAAACGAATATTTTTTTTCTTCTCTGAAATATTGAACTAGCTATCATCATCATCATCATCATCATTTCCTGAAATGGACAGAAAAAAAAACAAGAATAGAATAGCATAGGATTGATTCGATTATTGTTGTTGAATGTGCCCCGATTTCCGGTCATTTGGTCTTAGAAAAACAAACAATTTTGAAATGACTAAAAAAAAATCACGAAACTGTTGGTCTCTTGACAAATTTTCCAGTGAAAAAAAAATCTGATGAATTTTAATTGAAATTCGAATTGAATTGCTGCCGGATGTTTTGTTCTTTATTCTCGTTTTCTGTGCTGTGTGCATTGATGATTCTAAAAATAAATTCATCATCAACCTTGATCCTTTGTTGTTGTTATTTCTCATCATTTGAAATTGGTAGAAAATGAAATCGTATTGGTCAAATTTAAAAAAAAGAATCGATCAATTGATCGATTGATTGTATTTGAGTAGTTGATAGTAATTCTTTTCAATTGTAAATTGTATGCTGTTGTTGTTGTTGTTGTAACTTTGGAATTCTGTTTTTTTTTCATTTTCGTTTTTTATCCAATCATTGAAACATACACACACACACACACACATACATACATAATATTTATAAACACGTGACATCATCAAATGGCCAACGAGAAAAAAAAATCATCATCATCATCATCCTCATTGATATCATTCACATTGCACGTGTTTGTCTGTATATCTCATCTCTCTCTCTCTCTATCACTCAGTCAAATTGTCAGTCCACATATATCGATCGATTGTTGCCATTGCTCATTTATTATTATGATGATGATGATGATGATGGTCCATTCATTGTCCGCTGTTTTTATTTCTAGATTGAAACAAAAAAAAACGAACATTTTTTTGATCCGTTTATTTTTATTTTGAACAAAATAAAACGTTTTACCTGATCATATGGATTGCATTTTTTTTTTTTTTTTTGATTGTCAAATGATGATTTTTCCAATTTGATCATGTTGATCCTACTCATAAAATGTGGGATAAATTGAATATTGAGTTGTTGTTGTTGTAGTTGTATACAAAATCACCATAGTAATAATTGAAATAATTTTCAAGAAGGATGCCACGTGTACAATCTATATATATATGTGAAAAATTTACAATGATGATGGTCGGTCATTTACAAAAATTTACATCCGAAAAAAAATTGAAAAAAAAAATTTGTCGACTGTGGTCAACTACAGATGATGATGGTACTTGTTATGTTTATCATATGAATTTATGAATGTAAAAAATGACAGTAGACAGTAATTAGTAAAATCATTTTTGATCATCGATGATCATCAATTATATCGAGGTGATAGACCAAAAGATTGTAGGGAACGAGGCTAACACACACATACACACACACAGACAGTAACAAAGTAATGAATTTTCTATTGCATAATATGAATACATTCATGCATATATAAAAAAAAATTATTGACTATAGTTACAAAATAGTTATCGAATCGATCATACTTATTGATTTGTGATGATGATCGATAAAGAACGCGTGCCACACACTCACCAATGACCAAATCAAATGTTTTCTCATTTTTTTTTATTCATTGAATGAATTGAATGATCGATTGATTGTACATATATTTTTTTCACTTATTCGCAAATGAAAAAAAAACAATAAATTCTTCAATTTGTTGTTGTTGTTTTTTTTCTCTCTACAATTTACTAGTCTGAGGTTTATGGTTTTCATTGGAAAAAAAAAAAAAAAAAAAAAACATTTCACTTTTGTTTTGTACACCATCACCATCATCTAAAAATCTTTTCTCCTTTTTTCTTATTATTTTTCTGAACTAATTTCTTCAAGATTTTTATTTTTTCTTCACTGCTGCCATAGATCGGGTTAAATGTGTGCATAAATTATCAGTCTAGCAAAGTATTCAAGTATAATGGGATTTCAGTGAAAATTTTTGTTTTTGTTTTTTTTTCGTTGGAAAAAAGAAAATTTGTCGACAACAGCAAAAAAAATTTTTTTTTTTTTTTTGGTCTTTTGTTCACTCATTCACTCTCATATTTCATCATTAAACAACCATTTTCATTTTGATACATTGTATCCAGACACATTAAATTACCAAATGAAATTATGGCAGCTCATTATTGTTCATTTCTAATTTTCATTTTTTTTTCTGCAAACACATCTGGACCATCATCATCATAAAACCACAACATAATAATCTTTATTATTAAGATGGAAACTAATCTTATGTCAATAATGGCAAACTAAAAATTATGTGCAAAGAATAAATCACACAAGTGGTAGAAGAAAGAAAAAAAAATTATCTTAACGTGATTATTAACAAGAAAACAGGACACAATATATATATATATATTTACTTTTCTGTCAATTTGGATTCATTTTCTTTCTTTTTTATCTAAGTTAAAAAAATGAAATCCTGGTACATTACCTTTCCAAGTATGTAACAGTTTTTTAAAAAAAAAGAAATCTAAATGGAAAAAAAGGTAACATTTTCAATCATCTTAAATTGTTGTGCAAAAAAAAGCCAAATTTTTGCCATTTAATTTACTTGCGTGTGTGTGTGTGTGCGTTTTTTTTTCGTTTATTGGTTTGGTTTCCAATGAATTTTTTTAGTTTGTTTGTGTTTTTTCAGTGTTATTTCATCATCTTCTTCTTCACTTTTTTTCCAGTTTCAAGAATCTTTCATCATCATCATTAACTTTTCATCGACCATTGGGTTTAAATTAAACGAGTAAGTTTTAACATGAAACAAACATCTGCATCTTTTATTCATTGATCAATCAATGAATGACGGTGTATATTACATAATTGAATTTCATTGTCTGTGTGTGTGCGAATTTGATTGATGACATGATACGAAATGGTCACCTTTGACTTGATGATGGTGGTGATATATATTTTTTTTCATCGGGTTTTTTTGGATTATTGGATCCAAAAAATGAAATCAACAACAACGAAAACAACAACGATCGAAACATTTGATTAGATTATATTGAATGGACAACAGACACACAAACACACACCGGACGATAAAATAAAATCCATCCATCAATCTGTATTGATTTTTGGGGTTTTGTCTCTTGTGTTGTTTTAACAGCACAGAAAAAAAAAATTCAGTTCCAGAATGAGTCTGCAAAAAAAAATCTCTGAAACAAATTAAATTTCTGTTTTTTTTTTGTTTCTTTTCAAACACTGTATATATTTATATATGGTGTGTAATTAATCTCATAAATCATTATCGAATGTCATTCGTAGTTCTATGACCAATAGTGAAGTAGTAGTGACCAGAACTAAAAAATGGCCAAAAACGAATAAACGAATGAATGATTGCATGAATGACATGTCATATGTCATGTCACCAAGCCAATAAGATGGAAACAAAAACAGCCAATATTTTTTTTCCCCTAGTCATTTTCATCACCTTTTCATTTCAGTATTATTTTTTCAGTGAATTTGAGCTCAAATTCTGGATTTAGAATTTTTTTTTCAAACTAAAGTGAAAAACAAATCCAAGCCATCAGCAGCGGTAGAAAATGAAAAGTTTTTTCACTTTATTTTTTCAAACAAACAAATTGAAAATTTTAAAATTTTAAAATTTTAAAATTTTCAATTTGTTTTTTTGCTGTTATATGGTTTCCGATAATGAAATTTTCATGTTTGTCATTCAAAATCTCACAATGGATGGTATGAAGAAAAAGTCCATTTTCCAACAAAAATCGATTGACAAAACAAAACAAAACAGAAAAAAATTGAAAGTTATCAACTATATATACACACAATGTGTGTTGTTTTCACTTTTTTTTCAAATTCATTTTATTTCGATCCAGAAATAATAATAAAAGTAAAAAAAAAAACAAATTCGACACCTGACACGATTGACATGAAAAAAAATATTCACTTATTTGAATCTGTTGTTGTTGTCGATGTTGTCGATGTTTTTGCCCATTCCAAAAGCAGTTCCAAAATGGATTCTCGCTGACAAACAAACAAAAAAAATCAACAGCAGAGAGAGAGAGAGAGAAAACAAACAAATTCTCGAATGAATCAAATGAAAAATAAATTCTTTATTTCATCGTTCGTTTGGTTTTTTTTCTGAAAGCCAGTTTCAATAATAAAAAAAAATGATGTGAAGAGAAGAATTACATAAAAATCGAATATTATTGATTATTACAAGAATGTATATAAATGTACAGAATATATGTGTGTAAAAAAAAAAAAATTTTTTTATATATAGATTTCTTCATTATATAATAATTGCACATTCGATTTTTGGTTTTTTCCCCGGTTTGTTTGGACAATTTAAAATGAAATGAAAAATTTTCAAAAATTCAAAAATCAAGAATGATAATGGCCAAAAAAATGTTGTAAAGTTCGAAAATAATTTCCAAACATAATATCGAATGTAAATGTGCATATATCCATGATTGTTTGTTTGACCAGATTTGTTATATTTATCATTATTATGGTCGTTGTTGATGATGATGATGATGATGATGATGAATGTGGCAATGATGATGATGATCGTCGTCGTCGTAATTGAAATTCATTGCTCATTCTTCGTAATTGTAATGCTGATTGTTGTATATTGACTAGTTGTTCATTATTGAGATCTTGTTCCTGTTCTTGATAGTGGTGTTGATTTTCGTTATTATTCGAAACAATTCCATCCACAAAATCCATAATCTCTTGCTGTTCTTGTTGTAATTCCCATTCACTTATTGGTATTGCTACCAAAACGGATGGTTGTTGTTGTTGTTGTTGTTGTCGGAGAATTTTTACGTTATTTTCATTCATAAAATTCGGTATATTTCCAATCGATTCATATATAAATCGACATTGTTCTTCTTCTTCTTCATTATCATCACTATTCGTGTAGCCAATTGTGTTACTTGATCTTGGTCTTGTTGGTGGTGGTGGTTCATATGGTGTTGGATTCAACAATCGGATATTGTCATCATCAGCATCAAGAACGTCGTCCATTTGAAAAATATCTAGAGAATAAATGAGAAAAAACAAGATTATTTCTGCTTAATTAAATTATTTTTATCTAAAAAAAAACAAAACAAAAATTGACTACGCAGTTTAAAAAATCGACATAGACTTTGGCGACATCTATCGTACGAGATACGTACTAAAAATGAAAATGAAAAAAAAATCAAACCAAATTCAATATTCAGAATTTGAACAAAAATTCAAAAATCAAAAATTTTTTTTTGTTTACATTTTCACTAAACTCAAAAAATAAGAAACACATGCGTTTTTTTTCGATGATAAAATTCAATTTTTATAATTCGAGCATGTTTTGCGATTCATATATGATGTTCTGTAACATACCATCATCATCATCATCATCATCATTATCAATCGATAATTGTCTCTGTTGCTGTTGCGATCGTTGTCGTCGTTGCTGATGTTGTTGTTGTTGATGTTGTTGTTCATTATTATGATTAATTTGTCGAAATTGATTAACAGGTAAATTAATTGGTGCACATGAACAATCGGATGATAGCAATGGCGGTGGTGGTGAACCAATTAATTGATCAAAACAATTTTCATTCAACATTTCAAATGATTGACTAGTTAACATTGAATGTCGTTGTTGTTGTTGATCGTGATCATCATGGCCATCATCATCATCATTATCGCTACAATTCGATAATATCGTTATACAACAACAAAGACGATATAAACAATTGCGACAAATTGATGATGAATTATTTTGTCTACGACGATTTTGATTATTATTGATTTTTATTGGTTCTGACGATGATGGATGATGTTGATGATGATCATAATCATCATCATCGTTATAATTTCGTGGCAGTGATGACATTTTATGTTTATTAAATTGTAAAAAAAATAATTCACAGTAAATGATAATTAAAAAAAATCAATAAATCAATCAATTCGAAAAAAAATATAAAAAATACATTGAAAACAGTAAAGTCAAACTCTAGAAAAAATTTTTTACAATTACAAAAGTTGCAGAATTTCTTCAAAATTCATAAAATTCTGGTGTTTTACATACACACACAAAACACAATGTTGGAACTTTGTTGTCGTTGGTTTGATACAAAAAAACAAGAATGATGTTTCATGGGCGACAAACCATCGATTTTTATACTTTTTTTTACAAATTATGAAACATGCGCACTAAATATAAGAAGAACCCTCTTTCATCGTATTGGTTAATCCAAAACATTTTAGGGTGGTAACCTTTACTACTGTTAATTGTATGAATGTGAAAATTCAAAAAAAAAAAAAAAATGTGAATAATGTTTCAGTAGTGTGTGTGTATTTAGATCAATTCTAACATTCACACATTCACACATAGACAGTTATATATAGCTAAATTAATTATTTGTGTGTGTGTGGGCTGGGTCAGCATTCCCTCTCTTACTACACTATTTTTTTTTTTATTATCGTGCCACTATCAATCAATTTTTATTTATATCTATCTAACTGCTAATCCATGGACAACAGCCATCATCATTAAAGGGTAACAACCATCGATTAGGAAATCATCACCAATATGGTTGACAACAATCATCATTAAATACTATGATAAGATGCTAGAGAAAAAAAAAGTTAAAATTCACACACACACAAGTCAAATAGTGGTGGTGGTGGTGGTGGTGATGGTGCTACCAAATTTACCTATGCACATATATTTGTCAATATCGAATGATTATTGCATCAGATTCTAGGTAAATTGTTTTTTTTTTGTTTTCTTTTACTCTGATTTTCTTCATCTACGCATCATTCCATTGATATGAAAATATATTTGGTTGAAAAACAAATATCGAAAAAAAAAAAACAATAACAACATTCCATACACCAGAAGTGGTGATTTTGTTTTTATTATTGAGAAATCAATCTTATCAATAAAGTGAAGCTTTATCAATCAATTGTCTGTTTCGATCTTTCTATAAAAAATCATATTAAAACAAAAACCAAAACCAAAAAAAAAAAAAAAAAAATGTCACCTTTGATCATCGAGTATTTTTTGTTGTTTTTATTAAATGCGTTTGTTATCAAATCAAAAACATTATTATTATTATTTGATTATTACACCACATCACAGATAATCATAATTTTTAGACTGCTTGTCGCCAAAAAAAAATCATCATCATTATCATCATCGTTATCATTATTTGGAAAATATGGAAACAAACAAACAAACAAACAAACAAAAAGGCAATAACAAATCTTAGTGTGATTGCAACAATTTTTCTCTAAAAATTTAATTAATTTCAATTCCTTTCTTTATCTCCCTTGATCAACTTCCAAAAAAAAACCTCTTCAAATACCTGAAATGGCAAAAAAAAAAATTTCTTTACACATCTGTTCCATTAACCATTGATGGTTAACCCTTTTTTTTGCATTTGACATAAATACATTGAATCCATAAAATAATAACGATAAAAACACTTAATAGTTAGTCGTAGTAGTACGTGAATTGATCATAAAAAAATGTCACCACCAAAAAAATAGGGCCTCAATTTGACCATTTGCAAAAAAAAAAAAAAAAAAAATGATACAATGTTTATGAATGATTTATACTTTGTTATACTTTGTATCCTTTTTTTCTCTTTTTCATTCATTCAAAAACGAATTTGATGATGATGATGATGATGGTTATGTGTGTGTGTGTTTATCGATATGTTAAATTCCAGAAAAACAAAACATCCATAACAACGACAGCTGTTCAGCTTTTTTTTTTTTTTTTTTTTTTCTGGGTCATAATAATAATTTTGTCCCTCATTCCATTTTAATTTGATTGTGTCATTTTTTTTTGTTGTTGATCTTGTTGTTTCTTTTGTGTGTGTGTGTGTGTTACACTTGCCACATGATGATGATGATGATCACACATAATGTTGTTGTTTGGTAGTGCACGTTTTTTTTCCAGTGGCAAATTTTTTTTCTCTCTTTAGCTAAGAGATGTAATCATCATCATCGTCATCATAAAATCCAAAAAGAATCATTTACTACTTTAGTAACCAGAAAAAAATGATGATGATGATGATGACCATGAGAGAAATAGAGATGAGGTCACAAGATGCAAAAAAAATGAAATGAAATAAAATAAAATAAAACAATCCCAAGTGACCAACTGAAACCAAGTGTCAAATATATTCTCTCGTTCTCTCTCTCTCTCTCTCTCTGCTTTGTCTATTTGTTGTTATTGGATGGTTATGGTGGTGGTGGTGATGGTGGGCCACCAAACACAAATCCATAAATTCCAGAAAAAAAAGAAATATAAAAAAGTCCATTTTTACTATGCATTGAGTTGATTTTATTACCCAGAAATAACAGAAAGTTCCAGCATCGTTATTTGTCTGTGTGTGTGTGTGTGCATGTGACATCCAGAATCAAAAAAAAAAAAAAACGAAACGAAACGAAACGAAACTTTGTAATTCTTTTCATTTGGAAACAATGAAATATATGTGTGTGACGCAATTCATGTACTACTCATTGGAATTAAATAAACGATAAAAATAGATTCCTTCACATCCTGTATGATGGTGTGATTGTCATTTGGTTTTTCATTTCTGGTTGCACTAATGCTACTCTATCGTTGTTTCTGGTATCCATGAGAGTGTAATGTGTGGTCGTTATGATTATATTATTGTTATTATGGAGCAAAAAATCTACGTTCTCTCATAAGTTTTTCTTTTCTGGATTCTTTTTTTTTTTTTTTTTTCTGGTTGATTTCCACAAACATATCAACAATTAATTTATGATCCAGACATTGAACCACATGACCAATGTCCATCCATTGAGAATGTTTTGTTTGTTGATAGTTTTTTATCTTTTCTATTTAATTTTCTCATCTATGGAATGAATGAATGGATGGATATCTATGGATTTTCTTTCTTTTTTTATATTTTCATTTTTCGATCAATGTTTGATGAGAATGATGCACATAACATCCAAATATCATGACACACACGCACAAAAATCACACCATTTTTCACGTAATAATATCCACACACAAAACAGTATGAGACACGTGACTTGCAAACCAAAAAGTAAAGCGAAAAAAATGATGATGATGAGTATTGAATATATGCAAATAACGACGATGACGATCATCATGTGAATGTTTGAATTCTTTGCATTGCAAAAAAAAAAAAAAATTTTTTTTATTTGATTTCAAATAGAGGCTATTTCGAGACCAACTCGATTTGAGTCACAGGTTTCTGGTCAGTTTTTTGTTGTTGTTGTTGTTGTCATTATGGAACGATCCATTTTGGTTTAGTTTCGTTGGATCGTTTCGTCATAATGATTTTTGTCGTTGTCGTTGTCCACATATGATGACAATGATGTTCATAATAATTGAAATTGGTAACTTTGTTTCAAATTTTTTTTTTTCTCGTGATCCATATTAATCCCGTTTTAATTAGTTAAACAATCAAAAAGTGGAAAGACCAGGACAACAACAATGGACACACAGTAATAATAATGAATATAGTGGACAGTCATTGTGCACTAATCTCATGTAGGACATTAAACAGAGCGAACGAAAAAAAAAAATTCGTGAACAGAATCTGTGTGTGTGTGTGTATGTATAATTTTTCTATTTCAACAGAGCTTAATTTGCATTTTTTCATTTTCATTTTCATCCACCCGTTCCATCTCTATTCTTGTGTTTATACCAATGATGATCATCCAGATGTCATCATCATTTGTGATTTTTTTTTTTTTTTTGCCTTAGTAAATTGAATTAATTTTTTCGTTCTATTTAGATCGAAATAGCTCATCGTCATCATCATCAATGCCAACTAACTGATTGTGATTATTGTTGATGACATTGGATACACACTAATGAAATTCATTTAGGAAAACATTCCAAGGACAACAACAACCAGAAAAAAATGATGACAAATACAAACAACAAACTACGTATACCGTAATAATGATAAACCATAAAAAATCAAACAGCCAACCAAACAAATGGTTAAAGATTCAGATGACTCAGTATATCAAGTGGATGAGAATGAAAATTTGTGGTGCCATCATTTTATTATTGTTCAACTTACTCACTTTTTTAAAAGTAAAACATCCTGATGATGATATTAACCATGGCGACCAACAACAACAACAACAAGAAATCATCATCATCATCGATGTCAATCATTGATGACTGGTGATGGTATTAAACCACCATAGCGACCCAAAAATAAAATAAAAAACGACGACGATGATGATGATAATGATGATGATGATGGTACACTCTGGTGTTATCTTTAATCAAATCAATGTGAAGGGATAGCAAAACAAAACAAAAAACAATGAAAATAAATTCTTTTTCTGCCATTTCTGGAAGAGAATTTTTTCTTCAACTTTTTTTTTCATCATCATCATCATCATCATTATTTTAATAATGATGATTGTATTTCTGTGGTCAAAAAAAAAAAAAACTATTACACAACACACACACATATATATACACAAACATAATTATCATTTAGATCCAGAATAGAATAATCATCATTATCTAATACTATTTCTTTCAAAGCCATTAGTCGTTGAATATTATCGTTGGATTTTGCACTGAATAAATGTCTCATTGGTGATTTGATACTTTTTTTTTTCTCTCTCTCTCTACATTATTAACACCATTTAACGGTGAATGAATGTATATGAGGGTGGTATGTTTGTATTTGTTTTGTGTGTGTGTGTGTGGTCAATTGGTGTAAATCAAAGTGTCATCATCATCATCATCATCATCATTTGCAGTGATGATAGCGAGTTAGAGTAAGTGAAAAACTCAAATAAACTGTCGTCTGTGTGTTTATGTGTGTGTGTTAAACGCAAAATATACAATCTATGAAAATGATTATTACCATCATCATCATCATCATCATCATCATCATTTAGATTTTTCGCATTTTCACTAGTAAGTAGTGTTAGTAGTAGCCTAAAGTTAATTTATGATTGTCATTTACATTTTGTTTTTTTTTCCAAATGAAAAACAAAAACAAACAAACAATTAACCAGATGAACTGAATCTAAATAAAATGGTGACAATAATAATAATAATCAGAATCAGAATCAGAATCATTCCAGTGGGCTATAGCCGTTTGTTGTTGTTGTTGTTGTTGTTTGTTGTCATTTGGAGAAAAGAAAGAATAGAGAAAAAAAAACATTGATAACTCTTTCATTGAACATTCTGTGAACATTCATATTTTATTTCACTTAAATAAATGATTGGATGTGATTGATTTGATGTGTATCCATAACTGGTGACCATTGGTTAGTTGGTTGACTGTATTGTTGTTGACCTTGACCAAGGTCAAATTGAATATAGAGTTTATTATTTTCATTTTTTTCGTTTTGATTGATGTCATATTTACTCAATCCTTTTATTCAATATGTGATAATATGATAATGGTGGGCATAGGAAAAAAAATTTTTTTTTGTTGTCCTTGTCCATATATTTATGATAAACAACAACAGATGTTTTGTGATTCTGACAATAAAAAAAAAAAAAAATGAAAATGGAAATGAAAAATATTTTGTGTATTTAGCCATTTAAGCATTGGTGGTCAAATTTGGCATTGAAAATGATTCATTTTGATTGGAAAAATTTTTGCCAAATGATGATGATGATGATGAATCACGATTTTCACCATATAAATCATTCATTGATCCATTTCGAGCTGATATATCCTCAATATTTGTACGATTTTGCCAATACCCATCATCATATTCATATGAACGTGTTGAATATGATGTTGTTGAATATGATGATGTTGAATATGATGATGTTGAATTGGAATTTGATCGATTCGTTATCGATGATGTTTGATCCATTGATCTCTTTTCCATTAAATTATCATTAAAATCACTTTCATCATCGGTTGACCAGAAATCATCAAATTTTGGTCTTTGTATCATTTTCATTAATGATCCCTTTTCCATTATAATTATTTTCGGTTGTTGTTGTTGTTGTTGTATTGGATTGTTGTTCATATTGTCCACATCATCATCATAATCATTTGCATTGAAAATAAGCATACGTGGACGACGATAACGTCCATATGGACCTTCAGCATTAATACCACCGGATGGTAACATTGTTTTATTATTACGTCTTTCCCAACGCCATCGACCATATTGAATATCATTTATCACATGGATGCCTAAACCTTGTTATGAATAAAATTACCCGATTAGATAACCGCTGCAATTGAAGCAAAAAAAAAACCAGAAAATATCTTACGTTTTGCTGTAACCAATACCAGAAAAAATAGAAATATCAAAATTTTTCGAAACATTCTGCACACACACACACACAAACACACGCAAATGCACACGGAAACAAACAAAAATGAAATTTTTCAATTAACCAAATTCACTGCCTTTTTATATGTGTAACCAAAAAAAAAAAAAAAAAAAAAAACAAAAAAAACACTTGTTGTTGCATGACAGCTGTGTGTGTGTGTGACCAACTTTTTTTTTGAAATTGGCAATTTCATTTTTAATTTTAAGTTCAAGTGTAATATCAATTGAAACCAACTGTATAATTTATCGGATCATCATATTTTGTCATTTTTTTATTTTCGTTTTTTTGACAATGTCAAAAACAAAATGACATTATTTTCAATTTCCACTTCATATGTTCAATTTGATGATGATGTTTTCAATGTTTTTTTTTTGTTTCTTTCAAAAGATAAATTTTATTTCAAGAAACAAAACAAAAATTCATTTTTTCAGTGTTTTTTTCCCAATAGATGAAGATGAACTGTCTGTGTAATGGCCTGATTCAACAACAACAACAACAAAAACAAAAAAAATTAATTCCAGATCCATATACTGATGATGAGCAATAAAGAGAACAACAACAACAACAACAACAAAACAAAAAGGCAATCTTAGCTGTCAGATTTGATGTAGCCAACGGAAAAAAAGGAAAAATTTACGATTTGTACTTGAATCGCAGCCATACAGTAAAAATCAGAATAAATGAAATTCTCATAACCATGAATTGTTGTTGTTATTCAATTCTTTCGCACAATAACCAACCGACCAACCAACCAGCATTCAAGTGGTGTGTGTGTGTGTGTGTGTGTGTGTGTGCATTCATTCGTCATTGCGTCATAAATTTTCCATTGGAAAAAAAACAACAGAAAAAAAATAGAAATTCTTTGATCCTTGATTCTTGTACACTGTATTTTTTTTGCTGAATGAAAAAGAGGACAACACAATATTTTATCACAAAACAATCGATTTGCCCACTACTACCACCATTAATTTAAATACACACACACACACGCACACACTGCAAACTATCAATATCAAAATTGTCTTTAAATTATATTCGTTTGCTTGCTTTTTTTTGTTGTTGTTGTTGTTGTTGTTGTAACAAGCAAATTATTGCATTTGCAATTCTTTTGCAATTATAATAATTAGAATAATTGCTATAAAAGTAAAATGTGATTTAAGTGTGGTGATCGACATGATGCATTGGCTATAAAAATACACACACACACACACGACATTCGTTTATTACAAAGCAATTGGTTGACCTAACCATTGCCACCACCATTGCCCAAAGTATTCATCCGATTGCTTTTAATTATCATCAAGTAAAAGTAGAAGAAAATTTAGCAAACAAAAAAAAAAAATGAAATGAAATGAAATGAATGTCTGCTTTTAATGGGTACAAATTTACTATATTGCTGCTGTTGTGTAATGAAGGCTAATAATACAAAACACAATACAGAACACGCATTCAATTTAAAAACGCGTGTCATCCATTTCGAGATGGCCAAAAAACGTATTTATTTTTGTCACACAGACATAAAGATAGACATCGTCATTGATCACACACACACACACACACACACACACACATGCAATCGAAATATCGAAATTATCGCTGTTTAGATTTGAAATCTTTGAATTTCATTTTGCACATTTTTTTTTTTTTTTGGTCTCGACATTCGACAGAAAAAAGTGCCAAAGATATATCTATGTGTATGGTGAATGCCATTCGATCATATTTGAAATACATACGATATTAAGTTGTTGTTGCCGCTGTCGTTGTCATTGTTTTTTTTTTTTTTGCCTTTTCGTTTAATGTCAATGTACGATGAGGATTGATTTCTCGTTTTGCTATTTTTTTTTTTTGAGTTGTCCGGTTTTTCTGTTTAAAATTTATGATCCAAACAACGGCAACAACATTAACGAGAGAGAAAGAGAGACAGACATCATTTTTTTGTGCATCATATTTTTTTTTTTTTGGGCGCGTGTTTTTCTCTTTTCTCTATGTGGTGAAATTTTTTTTTTTGTTAGAAAAAAAACGTTGATCCTTAACATAAAGTTTAATGACCACCACCACCACCGCCACCAAATGAATGACACACACAAGAGAACCGGCAGCCGCAGCCATTATCAGGAAGAGAAAGAACGAGAAAAAACAATTTGGTTACATAATAACTAATTTTTTTTTGTTTCTTTTGAAATGAAAAACAATAATAAAATCCATCAAAGAAACATTAAAACAATTCATCAACGGTCAATAACGACGACGACAACAACAACAACAACAACGGTTTCATTTCCATCACCATCATCATCATCATTTATATAATGGTGATAATTTTTCAATGATCCATGATTATTATGGTGGTTGGTATTCGAGTTGAGAATTTTTTTTTTTTTTTTGGGAAAGAATCCATTATTATCGAAAACAAGCCAATAACAATGTAGCAAAAAAAACACACACACACACTTGAAAAATATGGCAACAACAACAAAAAAAACCTCGAAAAATATCCAGATCATCATCATCATCATCATCGTCAACAACAACAACAACAACAAGGTTGATTGAACCACCAAGGTTGAATAATTTTTATCTACAAAAAAAAAAAAAAACTCACTCACTTGCACGGTGGCAATCCAATAATGATTAATAATGACAATATTCATTATCATCATTTGGGCGGTCCAGTAGGTACAAAACATAATGATTTGTTTTCCATCAACAACAGCAGCAAATTTCCAAACCAATGAGAGAGAGAGAGAGAAAAAATGATTAATTTAAGGTTAATGGATTTATGGATCAAATGGTTGTTGATATCCAAAAATGTTTATCACATCACATCTCAATGCACAAAACACAAAACACAAAACAACACATGACAACTATGGCTATAGATGGATATGAAAATTGATAACAAAAAAATCTAAAAATCCACTGAAACAGAACAGTCATCGACATTTTGTCATTGACAATGGCAACAAAAAAAAAATATGCATCCATATGTAGAATGTAGAAAAAAAAGTCCAGTAAAAGTTTCTTGACCGCGGTCATGCAAACAAAAAGGTAAATGGACTTTTGATTTCTTAATTTTAGTTAATATTTAAAAGCCAAAAAACGTGTCGCCATTCAATCAAAAGAGATTATTAAGGATTTGTGTGTGTGTTTGTTTACATTGATAAATCTGGTCTTTTCCGTGTATAACAAAATATATAATGACAATGATGAACAAATTAGCAATTTGATTTCCTGTGAAAGGCAAAACAAAGTAAAAGAAATCACATTATTACGTAATTTGATATATGTAATGATGATGGTGAATGGTCAAAAAGAAGAAAATCATTTCTTTTAGTCACACACACACACACACACATGTAATGGTACTTAATTTAATTTAAATTATTTCGTTTCATTCATTCATTGTCATTTGTTGTTGTTGATGATAATTAATTCTGTGCACGATGATGATGATGATGATGATGTAATTCTATTGTCCACCATTCCATTGTTGTATGTGTGTGTGTGTGTGAGTGTTTCAAATTGAATTTCTTTTTCTGATGATGAATGGTGATTCTCGAAAACACGGAGAGAGAGAGAGAGAAAAGAATGTTTCCTCCACTTGAATATCACACATATTTTTTTTCTTTGGTGGAAGGAATTGAATTCCATAAAAAAAATGGAAAAAAATAAAACATTTTTTTTCGAAAGCAAAAAAAAACATAATTTTATTATTTCAATCCATTGAATTAATGTGAATTAGAGAGAGACAGAAAGGATCTTGAGATATATAATATTTAGTGAGCAAATAACAACAGAATCTGAATCTGGAATTTTTTTTCTCTCATTCCTCATACACACACGCACACACACACACAGACAGAATATCGAAGCTCTTGTGAACAATGAACAATGGACAATGGACGATGGCCTCTATCACTTTTCTTTCAGTATAATAATGATAATAATAATAATAACCATTAATGTATGGTCAATCGAGCACACGAGTCCCATAGAATGGAAAAAAAACAAAACGAATGCATCAAACAAGCAGCAACAACAATAATAATTTTTTTTTGTTGTTCATCACAGTTTGATTTAGTTTAAATTTTTTGCCTCTATTTTCTCGATAATAGTAATAATTCCATAATGATTCCAAATGGTTATTATTATTATTATGGCTGTGATTCAAATGGAGAATATTGAATGATAAAGATAATAAATTATTATAATGGTGGCAAATGGAAAATGAATTCTGCATTTTTTTTATCTCTTCTTCTTCCTCGTTTATTCGAATTGCGCAACGGAGAAAAGAATATAATGATATTCAATAAATGTGGACATTGGAATCTTGGATTCTGGATTTTGTCACGGATCATTTTATATAAAGAAGAATGGAATTTTTTTTCACTACTAATTGTCAAAGAGTTTTCGATGAGTTTTTTTTGAGTAAATACAAAAACCACACACACACATTGACAATCAGAAACTGTCAATGAACAATGAATGACGAAAGAAAGAAAAAGAAAAAAATCAAACACAATCTAGATAATCAGATGTTTGAATGAATGGATACTTTTTGATCAAAAAATGATGACGACGATGACGATTCATTCATTCTGTGTCCATTATTCTCGAAAAAAAAAAAAGAATAAAAGAATACGCGTGGCAATAGACAATAAAAAAAACTTTGAAAGATTCGTGAATCCCATTATTTGAATATTACGTTTGAATCGTACGTTTGATCGATATATATATGGTTATCATCAAACAATCGATATTGAGAAAGAAGAAGAAGAAGAAAAGATTGTGATCAAATGAATCCAAGTAATATAACACACACACACACACACACTCATGAATGGTGGTCACATGGATTCAAGTGTTTTTTTGTGTGTGTGTTTGGTTTACGTTTTTTTTCCTGTCATACTGTTTAATGGGGCCTTATTGGTGACATTTTTTTTCTTTGATTTGAAAACATGTTGTTGCCTACCCCTACTGCCACGGCCACCATCACCACCACCCTAGATTGCCTATTTTTTTGATGAT